TTTTTTGCAGGCTGTCGATACAGCCCCAGTGGAAGCTGGATTTATGGCTGGACAGCAGCGCAGTTCTGTACCGAGAGCTGCCAACTGCGTGGTACTGGCTTTGGAGGTCTGCCAGAAGGGAAACCATTAAAAAGCTATGCCTTGGATAATTGGGGAAGTGTGTGTTCAGGAAGCAAAGCCAGGGTATGAATTTACAATACAGTGGTTTCTTCAGATTCACTTTTTATGTGAACCCTCTAAGAATTAATTAATAATGTAAAGTGGCACAGGTGTTGCATTTCCTACCTTTTAGCCTCCTGCACAGTAGTTTACCAATGGAGATAAAAATTTGCCTCTGCCACCATTCTGAAAGGGTGCTTTGGTTCCCTTTGTAGGCAAAAGGGAACCTGGGAAACAACAGTACATTAAATATGGAGGATAACCAATATGTATCATTGTGTATTGTAACTTGCACAATCTGACAAAGCTATCAGAATCCCTCTTTAACTACGAATATCCTTCACTAAGGTCTTCTTTTTCAATGACCTCTCAATTATTTTCTCATCATTACTCACAATATTGAGCCTGAAGTAATATACAGATTAATGCTGGGGCTTACAAATATTTTAACACACTTATCCACGCGTGGAGAAATTTGATGAGTGATTGCAACCATTTAGAAGTGGTAAAAATGTCCCTCTTCACCACATGTCCACAACTGGCAAATAACTGCACTAAACATAATAAAACCGTCTGTGCTGCAATTGCATCTGCTTTGTTAACAGCACTTATTGTTTAATCTTCACAATCTGTAATGCAGTAGTACCTGACAAAGCCACCCAAAAGAAATACTATTCTTTGTTCTTACTACTGAATAACTTTTCAGTAAATTTGGAGCCTTCTTGGTTTGCACATTTTCCTATTTTACTCATTCCAGGACTTCAGAAGAGTCAATGAATATATTACGTTTTCCCCCATGGTGAGTTTTGCTTTGAATTCCATGTTTTCTGTTTGACACAGAAAACAAATTTAATTGTTTCTGAGAAAATGCCAGTCATCTTTAGGAAAAAGCAACAAGATTTTTATCAAGTCATGGTGCACAGCTGTAACCATTCTCCTATTTCATACTTATTGATACAGTATGTTGTGAAACATAATGATCGGTGATAAATTTAGCTCAGATAGGCTTTTTTTTATCTGTCGTCTGGTGTGACAACACGATTTAAAGTATGTGCAAAAATTCCCTAAGCCACACTGAAAATGGTAATGAGCTATATACGGATTATACAGGCTTAAAGGTTATTAAACCTGATTGTAGAGTTCTAGATGAAGGCAAAAAAAAAAAATGTGACTTCACAATTTCAATGAGCACACTGTGATATTGCATGAGAGTGCTCCTCACCTGCTGCAGTACATCTCTCTCTCTCAATGTCATTAATCTTCTGTGGAGCTCTACTAGTTCATCGAGATATGCCTAGAAAAAAATCCCCCCCC